TGCAGATTGCTTCCATTCATATTACATGGCCACATCCAGACGTGTAGGAGGCTGGGATCCTTGTAGCCACACAGCAATGTACCAGGGTTCTGGGAGAGCTGATCAGTCCTGACCATGTGCTTTGGCACATGAGCTTGTTTTGCCTTCCCTTCCAGATGAGTAAGTCAAGTTAGGAATTTTAATTTATTTGAGTGAGAAGTTCAGATTTGGGGGTCTGGGTTCAAATTCCAGCTCTGCCATGCATCAGCTGTCTAACCGTGGACAAATTAATTAACCTTGGTGAGCGAAGAACATCTGTCTGATGGTGGTATTGTGAGGATTAAGTTAATATATGTAAAATTCTCAGTAAAAATGCTTGGCTTACACACTGTTCTGTGCAAGTGCTGGTTGTTATGTCCGTGTGTCTGCTCTACTTTATGCTTCATTCACGACTCAGCTGTAAGTCTTCTGTTTTCTTTCTTTTCTGCTTCCACAAATCACTGCACTTATTGCTCTGAATTGTAAGGTGTGTGAGGGCATGTTGTCTGGCTCATGCATTTGACCTGAGGGCAGGAACTTGGCCTTGTCGATTTTGTCTGTGTTTTCCCATAGCCAGCAGTGTCCCACACATGATAGACAGTGAGATATTTGCTGATGAGAAGGAAACCTCATTAACCATAATACTAGAATATCAGAATATAGAATTCGATTTCCTGAGCAAACTGGAAACCAAGGAGCTCATATATTAGCTTTGGCTTTTTCATTTCAGTTACTTGGGCAATACTAGATTTCAGTGACAGATCATTGTGCCCTACTGGCCTATCTGTATGAGTCAGTCCACCTCAGGGATCAGCAGCCCTTTGGCCAAGATTCTGATTGCGTTTGGTATGTTTGTTGAAAAACTCCCCCTGTACAAAGGTGAGGATAGGAATGTGATAGTCCTGTTTCTTTGTTTATGAGATATTCTTAGCATTAATCTGTAAATCCTTCCTTTATCCCTCCTTCCCTGCCTTTCATTCCCTCCTCTCTAACCATTACCATTCCTTTAGGAAAACCGTGTCATATACCTTACGTGACACTTGAAGTTTGTGTATATCCTTGGCTCATAGATAAAATAGTTTTGCCTGTTTGTATTTTTAATTTATATGTGTTGTAGACCTTTTTAGCTTTTTTACTCTATTTTTAAAACTTTTTTACTTTAATATAATTTTAATCCTACAGAGAAGTTTTGAGAATGATACAAGAAAACAATTATAACCCCTGCTCAAATTCTGCTCTCTCTCAAAGCAAAGAGATGTGTCTACTTACGTATGTACTTATATTGTGTGTATTTACGTTGTTAATTTGAACTCTGAGAGTAAATTGCACACATCTTGACATTTTACCCCTAAATGCTGCAGTGTGTATTTCCTAAGAACAAGTCACAGAAATATATACCACCTAATTCTTAAAATCAAGAAATTGAACACCAATACAATACTATTTTGTGATCTACCATTCTGATTCAAATTCCACTGATTTTTTTACTGACTCCTTTATGGATTTTCGTTTTCCTGCTCTAAGAGGCAGTCCAGGATCCCATCTCACATTTAGTTTTTACATTCCTTTGGTTGCTTTTAATTGGCCACTGCTCCTCAGCCTTTCTTTACTTTTCATAATTTTGACATTCGAAAGAGCATAGGCAGTTATTTTGTGGAATTTCCTCAGATTGGGTTTGTCTGATATTTCCTCATGATTAGATAGGTCAAGAAGCAACAGTTAGAATGGAACATGGGACAACAGGCAGGTTCCAAATTGGGGAAAAAAGTCCGTCAAGGCTGTATATTGTCACCCTGCTTATTTAACTTCTATGCAGAGTATATCATGCAAAATGCCAGGCTGGATGAAGCACAAGCTGGAATCAAGACTGCTGGGAGAAATATCAATAACCTCAGATATGCAGATGACACCACCCTTATGGCAGAAAGTGAAGAGGAACTGAAGAGCCTCTTCACGAAAGTAAAAGAGGAGAGTGAAAAAGTTGGCTTAAAACTCAGCATTCAAAAAACTAAGATCATGGCATCCAGTCCCATCACTTCATGGCAAATAGATGGGGAAACAATGGAAAAAGTAACAGATTTTATTTTCTTGGACTCCAAAATCACTGCAAATGATGACTGCAGTCATGAAATTAAAAGACACTTGCTCCTTGGAAGAAGAGTTATGATCAACCGAGACAGCATATTAAAAATCAGAGACATTACTTTGCTGACAATGGTTCATCTAGTTAATGCTATGGTTTTTCCAGTAGTCATGGATGGATGTGAGAGACTATAAAGAAAGCTGAGTGTGGAAGAATTGATGCTTTTGAACTGTGGTGTTGGAGAAGACTTGAGAGTCCCTTGGACTGCAAGGAGATCCAACAAGTCCATCCAAAAGGAAATCAGTCCTGAACATTCATTGGAAGTACTGATACTGAAGCTCCAATACTTTGGCCACCTGATGCGAAGAACTGACTCATTAGAAAAGATCCTGATTCTGGGAAGGATTGTAGGTGGGAGAAGAAGGGGACGACAGAGGATGAGATGGTTATGGCATCTCTGACTCGATGGACATGAGTATGAGCAAGCTCCAGGAGTTGGTGATGGACAGGAAGGCATGGCTTGCTGCAGTCCATGTGGCTGCAAAGAGTGCTGAGAGACTCAACTGAACTGAAGATATCCTCTGTGTGTGTTTTTATGTCAGTTTAATACTGTTTTTAAGCTCTCTCCATTTGCTAGGCCTGTATGCAATCTGTGGACTGTGCCTGCTGCTTGGAGCTCTTTGATTCAAATGAATAGGTGGGACTTCCAGGAAGACAGCAGTGCAGACTTCTCTAGGCATGAATAGCGGATCATGACAGGACTGTAGGACACAGAAGTCAGCTTGCACCTTTGGCTCATGTGCCTTGGTTTGCCACCTGTTTATGATAGTGGCCTCAAATGTTTGCTTCTTCAAGGGTTTCGAAGGCCCATGTTTGTGGAAGAGAGAGCAGGAGAGGGAGTTGATCTTTCTGATTTTTCCTTCTTTAATGCACTTAGTAAACATTAGATAAAGCCCCCTCCTTTACTCTTTTGAGCTTACCTTCTAGCATTTTGAAAACCAAAAGGAAGGCATTTGGATGGAAAACTGTTCTCACTATGACAGATGCAGATGTTTAAAATGAAGGTTAAGATAAATAGGTTGACAACACTTTCAACTGTTTAGTGAAACCACCTCATGGAAAATTATGCTCTGCCTCTTCACCTGAATATAGCGATTTTCATTTCTCTCTGGCCTCCTCTGAAACTCACCAACATTGAATATAATTTTTGCATCATTATCTCCATAGTACATAAATAATCTTGCATTCCCCTTTCCTCTGGTGAAAATTATTTTGTATATACTTCCCCATATTTCATAACCTGCATATTTATCACTCTTAATGCCTGTAGTAAATTCTATCAAGCTGATCTTCTTGATAATGTATGTGTTTCTCTGTTGTTGTAAATTTGGCTTGTTTCCAGTTTTTCACTAATATTAGGAAAGAAAACTTTTTAAAGGAAGTATATAGCATCTTGTATTAAGGCAGTTTTGACACATTGCTTCATCTCAAATGGTTTCTTCTAACAGAAAAAGAAAGGATGCATTGTTGTAGAGAAAACACAGACTATCATTTTTAGGGAAACTTATTTACCTTGCTTATGTTTTGAACCCCCATTTATAACAGAAAGATAATTAGTAGAGAAGGAACTGATATATTTAGAGCTTTGTCAATTGAATACCTTGTATATATTTTTGGGATACAGGAGAGTAATGGATGATGTGGCTAAGACATAAGCATAAGGATGCAGTGTGATAGATTACAACTGCATCAGCCTTGCAATAATTCACTGGCCTTGATGTAACTGGACAGTCCCTCTAGTTCTTCTGCACTTTACTATTGAAAGATGCTGGAGAAATTCAGAACCCTCTGGCAAGAGGCAGTCCCTAAATCTCACCACGCTCAGCCTCTTCTGAGCATCTAAGGAGACAGGTTCAAGTCTTAGTTAAGCTCTTCCTTTCCCTTCTCAGTATTCAGGTGCTGGAAGGTACTTGCCAGAGGTGAGGTGGGGGCCTTTGATCAGCTGGTGTTTGCAGGAACTGTTTCTAAAGAGAGCACACATTTCAGGATTTGTTATTGACTAACATGGAGCTTGGGAGGGCAGAGTATCTGAGACAGTTTGCTTGTTCAGTAGGTTTTGTCAGTGTCTGCAAAGATCCCGGGATGGTTGTTTTCTCTGTATTAGTTCTGTGTCTTCATATATCATACGAAGATTTTTCTTGTCATGCAGAATTCTATTTTTCTTTTACTCTATGAGGACAGGACTTTGTATGTCTGGTTTATTGCTCTATCTTCTGTTGCCTTATAAGGAGCTTGAAGCATAAAGAAATGCTAAATAAATATTTGTTCATTGGATGATGATTTTATTTATTTGATTTTGTAGAGGAAGCTCATTATCCTGTGGGCAGCTGCTCCTCAGTTGTTTAGAGGGGTCTGGGAGATTACTGTAGAAATAAGTAGCAGCTGGATAAAGCTGTCAGAGAGTTGTAGAGCACAGAGGAGGGTGCATGGGCTTCACAGCCAAGCCGGATAGATTCTCATCCCAACTTTTTTCTGGCTGTCTTGGTTGGCTCCTTAATGGTCTCAACCTCAACATTCTTGCCTGAAGAATGGGTAAAACCACTTTACTCAGAGGTTATATAAAATTCATTACTCAGAGTAGACATGCAAAAATGTTACCCTCTTTCTTCTTCCTCTGCAAAAAGAGCCAGGATAGAAAGCTGGGAGGGGCCCAGATAATGTTTTCAAGTGTTGTCAGGAACAGATCTCTGATTCTGTTACCTGTTGTCTAAAATGTACCCCATATTGCCTCCATCTGTGTACCAGCAGCAAATGCCATGAGTACTTCCAACGATAGGTATGTACCTTTGGATTCTGCTTTGAACCTCTTTATTAGTAACTGTGTTCTTTGCTCCTACAGGATTTATGAACGTGTGATAGACCCTCCTGAGACCAACCTTCCTCCTGGAAGCAATTTATGGCTTGGTCAGCGCAACCAAAAGCATGGTTTATTCAAAGTAAGCACTACCTTCTACTTTTTGCAACGTGCTATTCTATGTGCTTGATGTGAATGTACTCACTTAATTGTCACAGCAGTTCTATGATGTGGGTGTTTTGAGATTAGATAAAGACCTCAATGACTTGCCCAAGGTCACATACTTCACTCTACTGTCAGCTGTGGATGATCCAGAATGTAAATAATCCTCAAACTGTTTCTTATTGCTCTGCTTCTGGGAGATTTAAGGTAATCTTCAAGTTCCTTTTCATTCTCAGAATCTTTGTTAATTTAGTTTTAGGGTAGATGTTTAGTCTAGATAAATAATAAGAAATGACTGAACTTCCATCAGTTTTGGTTTTCCTGTCTATAAAGAGGGTAGTACAATAACTGCATTATTGTGCTTCATAGCAGCATCAGGACTCAACGATAAAGTGAAGTGAAAAAGTTAAAAAACATCATGAAATTTTAAGATAGTCTTGTACTTCAATAGAATGGCAGAATTTTGCTTCTGGCCATATGGTAGACTAGATATTTGTGAAATCCTTTTGCTTCAAAATGCCTATAAATGTTGGATAAAATAGAACAAAAATCTTTTAAGATTTGTCATTGCACTTACAAGAAGGGAGATCCTTAGAGGCTAAATATATGAAGGGAAGTGAAAACCAAAGGGGTGTCTGCCAATACCAAAGAGTTAGATATTTAAGTTTATTCCTTTTTTCTTTTAATCTACTTATCTATTCCAACTTTATTGAGATGTCAATGACATACAACATTATGTATAAGGTGTACATCAGTTTGACACATGTAATGTATTGCAAAATGATTTCCACCATAATGTTTTCTAACACTTCCATCACATTACATAATTATGATTTCTTTTTTCATGGTGAGAACATTTAAGATTACTCTCAGCAGCTTTCAGGTTTATAGTACAGTATTATTTGCTGTGATCACTATGCTGTGATTAGATCCCCAGAACTTATTCATATTATAAGTGGAAGGTATCCTTTGACCAACATCTGCCCGTTCCCCCCACTTCCTCTAGACCCTGGCAACTATCATTCTACTCGCTGTGTCTATAAATCAGTTTTTAGAGTCTACATATAAGTGATATCATGCATTATTTGTATTTCTCTATCTGACCTGTTTCACTTTATGTAATGCCCTCAAGGTCCGTTCATGTTGTTGCAAATGGCAGGGTATTTTCCCTCATGATTGAATAATATTCTACTCTGTATATGTACACATCCACATACATACCATATCTTCTTCTTAAAATTATTTTGTTGGGGGTATAAATGTATGTTTTCCTTGGAGGAATGTCTATTCAGTTCCTCTGCCCATTTTAAAGTCAGATTTTCTCTTATTATTGCATTGTATGAGTTCTTTGCATATTTCAGATATTAACCACTTATCAGCTTTGTGATTTGTAAATTATTAGTTACACAGATATGCAGGGATTGACTTTTGGGTTCCCAATTCTGTTTCATTGGGTTATGTGTCTATTTTTGACTAATATCATACCATTTGATTACTATAGCTTTGTAGTACAAGTTGAAATCAGAAAGTATGGCACCTCCAACTTTGTTTTTCTTTCTCAGAATTACCTTGGCTATTTGGGGTCTTACAACACCTATTTGGCTTTGACAAATTTGGGGATTTTTTTTTCAGTATCTGTGAAAATTGTCTTTTGGATTTACATAGGGATTGCATTGAATCTACAGATGACTTTGGGTAGTGAGGAATTTTAACAATAGTAATTATTCTGATCCATGAATATGGGATATGTTTCCATTCATGTGTGTCTTTTTCAGGTTTTTAATCAGTCTTGTAGTTTTAAGTGTACAGATCTTTCATATACTTAAATTTATTCCTAAGTGTTTTATTAGTTTTGATGCTATTGTTAATGAGGTTTTTTTTTGGGGGGGTATTTTGTTGTTAGTATATAGAAATGCAGCTGATTTTTATATTTTGGTTATGTACCCTACAATTTTACAGACTTTCATTAATTTGTTCTAAAAGTTTTTTGGTGGAGTTTTTTGGAGTTTTCTGTGTATAAGATCATATCTATAAGCAGTTACATTTTACTTCTTTATTTCCAATTTGGAAACTTTTTTTTCCCCATTTTTTCTTGCCTGATTGCTCTATATAGGGCTTCAAGTACTATGTTGAATAGGAATGGTGAGAAAAGGACACCCTGTATTTATTGCTGATCTTTGAATAAGAGTGTTCAATCATTGATTGTTGAGTATGATGTTGACTATGGCCTTTATTATGTTGGACTATGTTCTTTCTTTGCCCAATTTGGGTGTTTCTATCATGAAAGGATACTGCATGTTGTCAGATGCTTTTTCTACATCTATTGATAGGATCATATGATTTTTATCTTTCATTCTGTTAATGTGGTATATCACAATTATTGATTTGCATGACTTGAAGCATCCTTGCATCCCAGGGATCAAGCTCACTTGATCTTGGTGCATGTTCTTTTAATGTATTCTTAAATTTGATTTGCTAATATTTTAAGAGTTTTAGCATCTATGTTTTTTTTTTCCAATCTAGTCTTTTAAAAAATTAATTATTTAATTGGAGGCTAATTACTTTACAATATTGTAGTAGTTTTTGCCATACATTGACATGAATCAGCCATGGGTGTACATATGTCCCCCTCCTACCTACCTCCCTATCACATCCCTCAGGGAAATCTCAGTGCACTGGCCCTGAGTGCCCTGTCTCATACATCAAACCTGGACTGGTGATCTATTTCAATATATGGTAATATACATGTTTCAACACTATTCTCTCAAATCATCCCACCCTCGCCTTCTTCCATAGAGTCCAAAATCTGTTCTTTACATCTGTGTCTCTTTTGCTGTCTCGCATATAGGGTCATCATTACCATCTTTCTAAATTCCATATGTATGTGTTAATATACTGTATTGCTGTTTTTCCTTCTGACTTACTTCACTCTGTATAATAGGCTCCAGTTTCATCCACCTCATTAGAACTTATGCAAATGCATTCTTTTTAATAGCTGAGTAATATTCCATTGTGTATATATACCACAGCTTTCTTATCCATTCCCCTGCCTACGGACATCTAGGTTGCTTCCATGTCCTAGCTATTGTAAACAGTGCTGCGATGAACATTGGGGTACACGTGTCTCCTTCAATTCTGGTTTCCTCAGTGTGTATGCCCAGCAGGGGGATTGCTGAGTCATATGGGAATTCTGTTTCCCGTTTTTTAAGGAATCTCCACATTGTTCTCCGTAGTGGCTGGACTAATTTGCATTCCCACCAACAGTTTAAGAGGGTTCCCTTTTCTCCACACCCTCTCCAGCATTTATTGTTTGTAGACTTTTTTGATAGCAGCTATTCTGACTGGCGTGAGATGGTACCTCATTGTGGTTTTGATTTGCATTTCTCTGATAATGAGTGATGTTGGGCACCTTTTCATGTGTTTGTTAGCCATCTGTATGTCTTCCTTGGAGAAATGTCTGTTTAGTTCTTTGGCCCATTTTTTTCATTGGGTCATTTATTTTTCTGGAGTTGAACAATATATTTTTTGAAGATTGTTTTAAAGAAAACTGAGTGCTGAAGAATTGATGCTTTTGAACTGTGGTGTTGGAAAAGACTGTTGAGAGTCCCTTGGACTGCAAGGAGATCCAACTAGTCCATCCTAAAGNGTAGATATACTCCTAAGTATTTTATTCTTTTTGTTGCAATGGTGAATGGTATTGTTTCCTTAATTTCTCTTTCTGTTTTCTCATTGTTAGTGTATAGGAATGCAAGGGATTTCTGTGTGTTAATTTTATATCCTGCAACTTTACTGTATTCATTGATTAGCTCTAGTAAGTTTCTGGTGGAGTCTTTCGGGTTTGCTATGTAGAGGATCATGTCATCTGCAAACAGTGAGAGTTTCACTTCTTCTTTTCCTATCTGGATTCCTTTTATTTCTTTTTCTTTTCTGATTGCTGTGTCTAAAACTTGCAAAACTATGTTGAGGAGTAGTGGTGAGAATGGGCACCCTTGTCTCATTCCTTACTTTAGGGGAAATGATTTCAAGTTTTCACCATTGAGGATAATGTTTTCTGTGGGTTTATCATATATAGCTTTTATTATGTTCAGGTATGTTCCTTCTATGCCTGGTTTCTGGAGAGTTTTTATCATAAATGGATGTTGAAATTTGATGTTGAATGTCAAAGGCTTTCTCTGTATCTATTTAGATAATCATATGGTTTTTATCTTTCAATTTGTTAATGTGATGTATCACATTGATTTACATATATTGAAGAATCCTGGCAACCCTGGGATGAAACCCACTTGTTCATGTTGTATGATCTTTTTAATATGTTGTTGGATTCTGTTTGCTAGAATTTTGTTAAGGATTTTTGTTAAGCATGTTCATCAGTGATATTGGCCTGTAGTTTTCTTTTTTTGTGGCATCTTTGTCTGGTTTTGGTATTAAGGTGTTGGTGGCCTCATAGAACGAGTTTGGCAGTTTACCTTCCTCTGCCATTTTCTGGAAGAGTTCGAGTAGGATAGGTGTTAGCTCTTCTCTAAATTTTTGGTAGAATTCACATGTGAAGCCATCTGGTCCTGGGCTTTTGTTTGCTGAAGATTTCTGATTACAGTTTTGGTTTCTGTGCTTGTGATGGGTCTGGTAAGAGTTTTCTGTTTCTTCCTGGGTCAGTTTTGAAAGCTTATACTTTTCTAAGAATTTTTCCATTTCCTCCAAGTTGTCCATTTTATTGGCATATAGTTATTGATCATAGTCTCTTATGATCCTTTGTATTTCTGTGTTGTCTTTTGTGATTTCTCCATTTTCGTTTCTAATTTTGTTGATTTGATTTTTCTCCCCCTTTTTCTTGATGAATCTGGCTCATGGTTTGTCTATTTTATTTACCTTCTCAAAGAACCAGCTTTTAGCTTTGTTGATTTTGGCTATGGTCTCCTTTGTTTCTTTTTCATTTATTTCTGCCCTAATTTTTATGATTTCTTTGTTTCCACTAACCCTGGG